AATGCTATTTACATGCTATTTTGTGCCTACTTTATTAATTTTTATTTAAAACATTTTAAAGTATCTTAGGAATTGGTGACTTCTAAGTAGGTGTAGAACACAGTACCTAGATTCTCTGAGCTTTATGTTCTGTATGAAGTGGGGGAAGTGACAGTAACAACCTGTTAGGGTGATTTTGAGGATTAAATGAGATACTGTGTACGAAGTCCATAGCACGGAGTTTGGATCACAGCAGAGACTAGAAAGTTCCCTTTGCCTCCTCTTAGTTGGTCCCCAACCCCAATATACCCTTGGATATTTTTCCAGCACAGATTTTAGAGTTTGATAGAAATGGAATCATATTGTGATCACTCCGTATGTAAAGTTTCTTTCATTCAAGAAAATATTTTTGATATTCAGCCATGTTGTTGCACATGTCAATAGTTCTTTCCTTCTGTCTCCTCCTATCTCGGCTCTTAGAAAAGGAATAGTGCAAAAAAGAGAGAAATAAAACAATATTTCCACTTGTATTAGGTTTTGGTCTACAGTTGACATTGTTCTCAAATATCTCTAACAGGTTCCCATGGAGAGAAAAATTTGTTTTCTGCCCAGAACATAACAGGAAACATAACAGAGGCAGAAGCCCTCCTAGCCCGGTGTGAAAATCATCATGTTGACTGTATTTCTCAAAAGGTAAATGCAGGCATGGGGGCAGCTGTCAGCCTTTGTTTTCTCACTATCAGTCCCACCACTTTTATTTTTTCATCTGGGGAAAAATAATGATGATTATAATAACAATGAAAAAATAATAAAAAAGACAGTAGAAAAGGTTATTGAATGCACTGGCTGTGGCAGGGAGCAATCAGAAATGGTTTGTTTTTTCCCTTTACTTCTTCAAAGCTGCTACGTGGACTCATTCTTACCCACCCATTGGATAGAATCTTTGATATTTCCTATTTCACTGGGCAATTTAAGCTGTTAAGAAATCCTGTCTAGTTTAACACAGGAGCAGAAAACCAAGCACTGCATGTCCTCACTCATAAGCGGGAGTTGAACAATGAGAACACATGGACACAGGGAGGGAACAACACACACTGGGGCCAGTCTGGGGTCGAGGGAGGGTGAGAGGGGGAGACCATTAGGACAAATAGCTAGTATGTGTGGGGCTTAAAACCTAGATGAAGGGTTGATAGGTGCAGCAAACCACCATGGTACACATATACCTATGTAACAAACCTACACATTCTGCACCTGTATCCTGAAACTTAAAATGAAAAAAAAAAAAAAAAAAAAAAAGAAATCCTGTTTAGTTTAATTTCAAAATTCAAAAATCTCACTCGGCTTAAAACTTCACCCTTCCTTACATATTTTAACACATAAAATAATCAACAACGAAAGCAATGAAAACAGGTATAGGTCGAGCATCCCTAATCCATAAAACCCGAAATCTAAAATGTTCCAAGATCTGAAATCCGTCCACATGGATGGCTGACATAGTGACATGTGTGCTTTCTGATGGTTCAATGCATACAAACTTTGATTCATGCACAAAATTGTTAAAAATATTATGAAAAATTTCATTTGCCCTATGTGTATGAGGTGTACATAAACATAGATGAATTTCGTGTTTAGACTTCAGTTCTAGCTTTAAGAGATGTCTTTATGTATATGTAAACATTCCAAAATCTGAAAAAATTCAAAATCCAAAACACTTCTGGTCCCAAGGAATTCAGATAAGGGATATCCAACCAGTATATCTAAAAAGTCAATGGATACTTTAAAATGAAATTCTAAAAATATTTAAAGTGTCCAAAAGACATCAGGAGAAAAGGAACAGGACAAAAAGTGGGGAAGGGGATGCAAACAGAAAACAAACAAAATAATAAAACAAATCATTAAATTGTAAGCTTGAATCCAATTACATCATTCAACCACTAACAAATCTATATTTAATAACGTTAAATGTTAATGAATCATATCACATACTCCAATTAAAGTACAGAGATTGCCAGAATTGATTTAAAAAAACCACAAGACCCAGTGCTGTATATAAAATACACACTTTAAATAGAAAAAAAAAAAAAGACAAATATAGGTAGGTCTAAATAAGCACATTTTATTTTTCTTTTTTTTTTTGAGATAGTGCCTCACTCCATCTCCCAGGTTGGAGTACAGTGGTGCAATCTCTGCTCACTGTAAACTCCACCTCCTGGGTTCAAGCAATTCTCCTGCCTCAGCCTTTTGAGTAGCCGGGATTACGGGAACCCGCCACCCCACCTAGCTAATTGTGGGGGTATTTTTAGTAGAGATGGGGTTTCACCACATTGGACAGGCTGGTCTCAAACTCCTAACCTCAAGTGATCTGCCTGCCTCGGCCTCTCAAAGTGCTGGGATTACAGGTGTGAGCCACCCTACCTGACCCTAAATAAGTACGTTTAAAAAGATATACTATGCAAACACTCAGTAATGGAAGTCTGAAGAAGCTATATTAATATCAAATAAAATATGCTAAAGTCAAAAGAGTATTTCCAAAGATAAAGAGGGACATTTCATGAATACGGAAGAGTCATTTCATCAAAAAGATGGATTAAAAAAATTTGTGCGTCAGTCTGCACAAAACAATTGAACTAAAGGAATACATAAACAATCCACAATTTTTATTTGTGATTTTAATACCCATCTCCCAAGCAACTGATAGATAAACTAGACAAAACCTTAGTCAAGATGCAGATGATCTGAACAACATTCTCCACTGTCTTGAACAAACCTATGGAAGATTACACCCAGTAACCACAGAATACATATACGTTTCAAGTACATGTAGTGTTCACTAGGATAGGTCACATGCGAGGTTATAAGACTCAGTAGATTAAATCAAATTGAATTCATGCAGTGTATGTTACCCGACCATAATAGGATTAAAACAGAAATTAACAATAAGAGAACTAGGAAAGCTCCAAGTACTTGGAGATTAAATATAATCCACAAGCCTAAGAAGAAATCAAAAGGTAGAATAGAAAATATTTTATTCCAAGGGATAATCAAAATGCAACATGTCAACACTTATGAATTACAGCTATGGGAGTTCCCAGAGGGAAGTATGGCTGTACGTGCTTATACTGCAGTAGAAAAAAAAGAGAAAGGTCTAAAATCAATGACCTAAAGGTTCATGTAAAGAAGACTGAAAACACACACACACACACACACACACACACACACACACGGCGCAAAGAAAACTCCAAGGAAGTAGTAAGAAGGAAACAATAAAGATAAAAGTGCAGAGATAAACCAAATTGAAGACAAACTAACAGAGAAAACTAACAAAGCAAAGAAGCTGGCTGTGTTAAAATATCAACACTAGTAAACCTTGAGCTACTCTGATCATGAAAAAAAAAGAGAGGAAATACAAATGGTCAGTATCAATATCAGAAGTGAAAGAGAAGTGAAATTATCACTGCAGATCCTGCAGACGTGAAAAGGATAATAAGAGACTATCATAAACAACGTCATGGTGACAAATTCTGCAACTTAGATGAACAAATTCTTTGAAAAATACAACAAACACTGACATAAATATTGCAGAAAAAGTGTCTGGAAAAATTAAAAGATACATTAAGCAAATGAATATGCAAGCCACAGCCTGACAGAAAATGTTGGTAAATCTATTTTCAGACAAAAGCCTGATTTCCAGAATATATAAAGCAGTTTTATAACCTGAAAATAAAAAGGCTGGGCACGGTGGCTCACACCTGTAATGCTAGCACTTTGGGAGGCTGAGGAGGGTGAATCGCTTAAGCCCAGGAGTTTGAGACTAGTCTGGGCAACATGGTGAGACCCCAACACTAGTATAAATACAAAAAAATTAGCCTTGTATGGTGGCTAGTAAAAATACAAAAGGTTAGCCTGGTATCAGCTAATTGGGAGACTGAGGTGGGAGGATCACTTGAGCCCAGGAAAGAGAGGCGGCAGTGAGCCAAGATTGCACCATTGCGTTCCAGCCTGGATGACAGAGCAACTCAAAAAAAAAAAAAAAAAAAAAAAAGATAACAAACACCCTTTAGAAGGGGAAAAGATTTGAGGAGCCACTTTGCAAAGATAATATACAAGTGGGACAAAATGCTTCATATCAAGAAGCATCAAGGAAATGCAAATTAAAACCACAGTGAGATACCACTACACACCCCACAAAATGACTAGGTTTGGAAAGACTAAATACCAAATGTTGGCAAGAATACAGCACAACCATAACTATTGCTAATGGGAATATAAAATAGTACAACTACTTTGTCAAATTTCTGGAATTTTCTTATAGAACTAATATACATCTCATCTATAATAAATTTCCGAGTTAGGAATTTACCCCCAATTAGTGAGAATACATGTTAATAATAATACTTATAGAAGGACACAATAGCTTTATTCACAATAATCAAAAGTTGGAAATACTCCTGGTGACCACAAATAGAAGATTAGGTAGCAAACTATGTTAATTCATACCATGAAATACTACTCAGCAATAAAAATGAAAGAGTTGCTAATATGTGTAACCTGATTCATAAATATAAAAATCATTTTGTGGACTGAAGGAAGCCTTATATATAGGGTTATCACAATATGATTCAATTTATGTAGAATTTCTAAAGTTGGCAAACTTAGTCTACAATGGAAAAAATCCAAGGGTACAGAGCTGGAGACTGACTGAGACAGGTCATGAGGAAACTTTCTGGGATTGTAGTAGTCCGTTTTCCCACTGCTGATAAAGACATACCTGATACTGGGTACTTTATTAAAAAAAAGGTTTAATGGACTCATAGTTGCACCTGGCTGGGGAGGCCTCATAATCATGGCAGAAAGCAAAAGGGACATCTTACATGGTGGCAGACAGAGAGAAATTAGAAACAAGCAAAAGGGCTTTCCTCTTATAAAACCATCAGCTCTTGTGAGACTTATTCACTATCACAAGAACAGTATGGGGGAAACTGCCCCCATGATTTAATTCTCTCCCACCAGGTCCCTCCCACAACACGTGGGAATTCTGGGAGCTACAATTCAAGAAGAGATTTGGGTGAGGACACAGCCAAAACATATCAAGGATTGTGGTAATGTTCTTTATTTGATACCGTTTTGGGTTACACATATGTATACTTTTGTCAAAATTCGGTAAATACATGCTTAAAAATTTTACATTTCATCATTTGTAAATTTTACACCAAAAGGAAAAAAAAAGATACCAAATTCTAGTTAATGTACGTTGAGTTACTGATGTCTGCAATTTACTCTGAAATGCCTGAAACATAAGGTAGATTAGTGGATGGATCTATGGGTAGACATGAGATAAAACAAGACTCCAAGTTGGTGAAGATACAGTTGTTCACTGTAAAGTTTTTTCAACTTTACTGTATGTTCACAAATGTTCATAATAAAATATCAACCCAAACCGTCTTCATCCCTCCTCCTCTGTGACAGCATCAGCCTGAGAAATCCACAGTGGGAAGGGAGAGGTGGGCAGTGTGTTTGGTTTTGACCATCCACCCTCACTCCTTAGCAGTGGTTTCTGACTCTTTTGGGTTGGCTAGGAGCAGGGAGAAAGGAGAGACAGAGGAACAGATAGGGCCTTATTGAATAGTTCAGCTGTATTATGGTGTCACATTTTGGGAGCAGGCACACAGTTTTTGGCCCTTTCTCGTGGGTTCCTGAGAAATTCTCCTGGTAGGGATCTCTGACAGCAGTTCACTACCTCAGGGAATACATTTTCTGGGAAGCCACTAAGAGCCTTCCTACCACCTGCCTCTGGGGGTCCGGGGCAGCCTCGTCCTCACCCCTGGCAGGAAGCTTTTCAGGGCAGAGTCTTTCTTAACATCAGTGGTTCTTTCTCTATTATGGAATTCCTATTTGGCCCATAGAAAACATGCACACACCTTTCCTTGGCTTAACTTGAAGTACGGGCCACTCCCAGCTCCAAACTTTATCGCTTCTGTCTGCCCCGTTATTCCAACTTGGCCACAGCCAAGTTGGAATTTATTTATTTTTGGCCCTTTCTCGTGGGTTCCTGAGAAATTCCTCTGGTAGGGATCTCTGACAGCAGTTCACTACCTCAGGGAATATATTTTCTAGGAAGCCACGAAGAGCCTTCCTACCACCTGCCTCTGGGGGTCCAGGGCAGCCTCTTCCTCACCCGTGGCAGGAAGCTTTTCAGGGCAGAGTGTTTAGATTTTATTCAGATGGGATAGCAGTTCCCGAGTTCTCCAGCCTTCAGGGACGTGAGCTAATCAGTTTGAATGGTTAATTAGAAGTTCCTGTTCAGGCAGCTCATTAGCTTTAAAATGAAGCAGAAGCATTTTCCCATCCATGAGCATTGGGTAAGGAGGGAGTTCATACAGCACACAACCCTTTCGAAAGTCTTCAGTGTAATTAAAAAAAAAAAAAAAAAAGCCTAGCGTGGTGGCTCACATCTGTAATCCAGTACTTTGGGAGGCCAAGGTGGGCGGATCATAAGGTCAGGCTTTGGAGACTAGCCTGGCCAACATGGGGAAACCCTGTCTCTACTAAAAATTCAAATATTAGCTGGGTGTGCTGGTGGGCCCCTGTAATCCCAGCTACTCAGGAGGGGAATTTTTAGTCCTGTCCTATAAAGGTAAGAGGTAGATAATAATCTATTCTGGCAAAACTGGTTTTTGCCAACGCCCTTTGCAAAGTCTGGAACCTGATTGTAAATGAGAGGATTCTTGACAACTACTGTTTGGCGCTCGATCTTTGACTCCAATGCCAAACTTGGAGAAGGCAGCATGTTTCCACTCTTCTGAAAACAGTAGCTAATCTGTGCTTCCCTTTGCTCTCTCAAGTATACTAAAACATTTATGAGGTACTGAGGCTTGCAGAAAAGTATTTTAGAAGTGGAGTCAGAACTCTACTGTGGAAAGGGGGGGAGAGAATCATGAATCCTATTTCCTTCTCTTCCTGGAGGAGACTCAGATTTGTGATGTGGTTTCTCTGAGTAAACATAAGTAACAGAAGAGATCAACGAAACTCTGGTTCACCGCTCAGAAATCAGTGTTTTATGACCTCCCCTCTGCCAGGGAAATAAGCATTAAGACAGCACTTTTCCTCCCACTTTTTAAAAAACTCAGGTGAGCAGGCATTCTATTGCTCCATGTGGTGGGCTTTTGAACTGAGAGGGGCTGAGCACAGAGAAGCCAGGGTAGCACTGCCCCCACCCCGGGCCACCTGAAACTGATCATGCTGCTTTCTTCGGAACAGCTGCCCCTTTAAACGAGGACTTAAGGGGTTTCCTTTGGCTCTGTGATTCCGCTGGAAGGAGGCCTGAATAAGGCCGAGGTCGGGTTGAAGAAGAAAGGGGCCATTTGTCCTACAACCTGAAAAAAACAGAACTATGATGAAGCAGCGTTGTTCGTCTGGGGTAATACCCGAGGTACGTTGCTTCATGTCAAGGAAATCAAGGACATGAATACACAGGGAGTGAGGTTAAGAATGGAGGTTTAACAGGCAAAAAAAGGAGAAAAGAGAACATCTCTCTCTCCTGCAAAGAGAGAGGGGCTTCTGAGTGTGTCTTCTGGTTTGTGGTGAACTGCACGGGGTTTTATAGACTTGTTTGAGGAGGTGGTGTCTGATTTACATAGGGCCCAAAGATGGGTTGGACCGGGTGAGACGTTTACATAGCTCGTGAAGAAGCTGGCCACCCACCCTAATCTTCTTATGCATATAGATTTTCTGCTTGGCCAGTACCATGTTGTCTGCTCCTTACTGTACATGTGGTTGATAAAAAGGAAGGTGGAGCCGTTAGGTTGAGCATGCCTGGTGCCCAGGTAGCCTTCTGCTGTTACAGCTGCCGGCATTCACCTGTGCAAGCTTCCAGCTTGCTTGTCTGTGTCTGCAGCTCGATTTTACAGGCTGCTCTTTGTTAGAAATGGTTTTGGGGCTGCTTTTTATGAAAAGGGAAACCTTACCAAACACTTCCTTACCCTCACTATCTGCCTAAATAATTTCTTTTTAACTCCTGTATCAATGGGACTTCTGGATTACAGTTGAAGTAGTTGTGGCTGATCATGAACTCTGCCTCCACTAAATAGTGAATGCTTTTATTTTCTATATTTCAAGGAGGGTCTCTTTGCTCTTTGCCCTTCTTCAGAACAGCAATGCGGAAATTGCATTTAGAACACTTGTTGGACACAGTGACTCACACCTGTAATCCTAGCAATTTAGGAGGCTAATATGGGAGGATTGCTTGAGGCCAGGAATTTGAGACCAGTCTGGGCAACATACAGGACCCCGTCTCTCAAAAAAAATTAGCTGGGTGTTGGGGTGCACACCTGCTGCCCTGTTGGCCCAGCTGCTCTCAGGAGGCCATGACAGGAAGGTCACTTGAGCTCAGGAGTTCGAGGCTGCAGTGAGCCACCGTCATGCCACTGCACTCCAGCCTGGGTTACTCCATCTCTTAAACAACAAAAACCAACAAACAAAAGCCCACTTCCTATCTGGAATGGGAACTGGTAGAGCCTTATGACAGTGAGTGACTCAGAGGCAGAGCAGCCATTTGGCCACAGCTTTAATGGTGCAATTTGAACCTTGTGTTTGTCCTGCTGACCAAGGCTGTGGCTGTCTTAGGGTCCTCCATGTGGGCTCGCCTTGGAGGAGAAGGAACTGTTATTTATTCAACACTTTCTGTGTGTGGAGCCCAAGATAAGAACTTCATGTTTGTTATTTCGCTTCAGCGTTCTGATACTGTATTTCCCTTTCACAGATGAGAGGGAGGCTAAGTAGCTTGCTCAGAATCACACAAGTCAGAGGTAGGAGGGCCACGTTCTTTAACCAGTTTGTGAGTAGATGTCTTCCCAAGAACATACAGCTGATGGCATAATGTTGACCTTAAGCCTAAGCTAATCAAATTGACATTTAATGAAAAGCAATAGATTTTCTCCTGTAGCCCCAGAAAGAGCCACTTGACTATAATCAGTCACAGAAATGCCTCTATCAAAGGAATAAGTGATCAGAATTCATGGGCAGCAATGGGACATAAGAATGTGGGAATGAGAGGTGTGGGCTCCAGGGATGCTGGAGAAAGCTTCTCCTCCAGTGTTCCCTGACTCTCGAATGCTGCTGCCTTTTAAATGTGAATACAAACCCATTCCGTTGTTTTGCACTGCCCCATGCCCTGAATCTCTTTTTTGTGGACTGTATCCTCCAATAACTTATTCAAGCAAGGATACACTGAAGCAAATTGTTCTGAAATATGACTTCATTCCTTATTACACTTTCATGACTGGCTGGGCATAGAATTTTAGATTGAAAATAATTTCCCTTTCAAGTTTTGAAGATACTACTCCATTATTTCCCAGCTTCAGGTAGTGCTGTTGAGAAGCCTAAAATCATTCTGATTTTTGATTCTTTGTAAATACTGTTTTTAAAAAAACTTTTCCGAAAACTTAGGGGAGCTTTTTTTCTTTGTTATATATTCCAGATTTTCAAGACAATGTTCCTTGGTGTGAGTTTGTTTTCATGTGTTTAAACGTAGGAGGTTATGTTGTTCAACTTGGGACATTTTCTTTTTTTTTTTTTTGAGACGGAGTTTCACTCATGTTATCCAGGCTGGAGTGCGATGGCGCGATCTCGGCTCACCGCAACCTTCGCCTCCCGGGTTCAGGCAATTCTCCTGCCTCAGCCTCCTGAGTAGCTGGGATTATAGGCATGCACCACCATGCCCAGCTAATTTTTTGTATTTTTAGTAGAGACGGGGTTTCACCATGTTGACCAGGATGGCCTTGATCTCTTGACCTCGTGATCCACCCGCCTCGGCCTCCCAAAGTTCTTTTTTTTTTTTTTTTAAAAAACTTTTATTTAAGTTCAAGGGTACAAGCACAGGTGTGTTACTTAGGTAAACTTCTGTCATGGGGTTTGTTGTACAGATCATTTCATTACTCAGGTATTAAGCCTAGTCCCCTTTAGTTGTTTTTCCTGATCTTCTTCCTTCTCCCACTCTCCACTCTCTGAAAGGCCCTAGTGTGTGGTGTTCTCCCGCCTGTCATGTGTCCATGTGTTCTCATCAGTTAGCTCCCACTTGCAAGTGAAAACATCTGGTATTTGGCTTTTGTGTTCCTGCATTAGTTTGCTAAGGATAATAGTCTCCAGCTCCATCTATGTCCCTGAAAAGAACATGATCTCATTCTTTTTTTGTGGCTGCACAGTGTTCCTTGGTGTATATGTACCACATTTTCTTTAACCAGTCTACCATTGATGGGCATTTAGCTTGATTCCATATTTTTGCTATTGTGAATAGTGCTGCCATGGACATATGCGTGCACATGTCTTTATAACAGAAGGATTTATATTCCTCTGGGTACATACCTAGCAACCCATTACTAGGTTTGCTGAATCAAATGGTATTTCGCTCTTTAGGTCTTTGAGGAATCATAACACTTTTTCACAATGGCAGAACTAATTTGCATTCCCAAATACAGTGTATAAGTGTTGTTTTTCTCTGTAACCTTACCTGTATGTGTTGTTTTTTGACTTTAATAATTGCCATTCTGACTGGCATGAGATGGTATCTCACTGTAATTTTGATTTGCATTTCTCTAATCATCAGTGATGTTGAGCCTTCTTCATATGATTGTTGGTTGCATATATGTCGTGTTTTGAAAAGTGTCTGTTTATGTCCTTTGCCTACTTTTTTATGGATCGTTTGTTTTCCTCTTGTAAATTTAATTTCCTGATAGATGTTTGATATTGGATTTTTGTAAGATGCATAGTTGACAAAAATTTTCTCACATTCTGTATGTTGTATGTTTGCTCTGTTGATAGTTTCTTTTGCTGTGCAGAAGATTTTTATTTTAATTTGACCTCATTTGTCAATTTTGCTTTTGTTACCTTTTCTTTTGGCATCTTCATCATGAAATCTTTGCCTGTGCTTATGTCCTGAATGGCATTGCCTCAGGTGTCTTCCAGAGTTTTCATAGTTTTGGGTTTTACATATCAGTGTTTAATCTATCTTGAGCAAATTTTTGTATGTAGTGTAAGGAAGGGCTCTAGTTTCAGTCTTTTGCGTATGGCTAGCCAATTATCCCGGCATCATTTATTGAATAGGGAGAATCTTTTCCCCCTTGCTTGTTTTTGTTAAGTTTGCCAAAGATCAGATCATTGTAGATGTTTGGTTTTGTTTCTGGATTCTCTATTCTGTTTCATTAGTCTATGTGTTTGTTTTTGTACCAGTACTATGCTGTTTTGTTTACTGTAGCCCTGTAATGTAGTTTGAAGTCTGGTAGCATGCTGCTTCCAGCTTTGCTCTTTTTGCTTAGGATTGCTTTGGCTGTTTTTGGTTCCATATGAATTTTTAAAAAGCTGGTTTTCTGAAAAAATTAATAAAACTCAACCTACTTCTTAAAATTTTCCAAGAACACAAACAAAATCATGACTGTTC